TGAAAACCATTTCAGGTGACGACCTCTTGAAGCTATTCAAGAGAATGCAGAGTGTGTGCAGAGCAGTGATCACAGCAAAAGGTTGCTACTTTGAAGAAACTACAATATAACACTTTTTTGTTTAGTACATATTTCCACATGTGTTAATTCATAGTTTGATGAATTCAGTGTGAATCTACAATGTCAATAGTCATGAAAACAAAGTAAACTCATTGAATGAAAAGGTGTGTCCAAACTTTTGGTCTGTACTGTATCCAAATTTTAATATGCTAATTCAGAAGTGAATTTGTCTCAGTGGAACCCTCTGTCTCACTATTATTATTATTATTGTTGTTGTTGTTGTCAATGTAAATATTATTAGAAAATTGAAACAAAATTTGTGAAACAAGTAAAATTGTTTCTTTCATTGCTTTGCACATAAGCATTGTGATGCCTATGTGCATGATAAATGGTATCTTTAATTCCCAGTACTCATTTCTGTTCTAACCCTGCCTAACCTGGAGATCACAAAATGTAACATGCATAGAAATATGGTGCAAGAATGTTATTTTCTCACAGCCAGTGATATGTAATAATAAAATATTTTATATTGCTATTTTCACCCTGTGGTTTGAACTATAAAGTACCTATTTTTCATTTAGCTTAACCAATTTTGATTTTTTTTTTTCTTCAAAATTGCAGAATTTTCGCATTTTCCCATTCGAAGCAGAGCAGGTGAGGCAGCAGTGAGCTGAGCCTCACCTGGGATTGCTCAACCTCTCACTAACTGCCATTCTATGGGAGCATGCTCCTGTCTATACTTTGCCAATACAATGGCTAAAAAACATTTAATATATGTACTGATTTTCCATAATTTAACTTATGTATACAACGTACAGTGTTTTTTGTGACCAAATGTATAACATGATTCACGTGCTGAGGAGCGATCAGAAACTGCAGAGAACAGATTCGAGGTGAGGCAGGCAGTTCTCTTGCCTCATGGCAGAAGCCTCGGCTCCAGAAGAGTCTTATCAGGGGGGGCATTTGGTTTATTTTTGGGGGGCAGATTATATTAAAGTAAAACAAGCTTTTACTAGTCACTAGTCAACACAGAAACTTCACAGAACACAGAAACCTAAACAAACACAGAAGAACTCAACTCCTCACATTATTTGCTTAAAATGCTCCAAGCTTATAGACATAACATGGGTTAGTTTGTTGTTAGGATAGCATTGTTATCATAGACTAATTACTTGCGAGCACAATTCACCTCTCACTCAGCAGAAACAAGTCATCAGCCATTTAATGCTTCTTTTGATTCAAAATGCTTGACCCAACTTGAAACTAAATGATTGTATTCTCCAGGTTTTTTAAAGCTTTTTCCTGGCTCATTGTATAATATGAACTCTGCAGCTCCAGATAGTTAGTTATGTGGATCGCCTTGATGCCAGGTAAATCCTCAAGATTATAAGACAAGTATTTTTACAAAGATAATACTGATCATATTCTAAGTATATGCATACTTTTTTCAAGATGCCTTTTCTGTTCCAGCCTATTTAAGGCATTAACATACTCTTTGTGATCAATTTTGTTTTGTTTTAAACCGTAAAAATTCACTTCCGGATATCCATCTGAATTTCACACGTCATTCGGGTCACGTGTCTGAAACCCAGCAAGTGACCTGGGTTTTAGACCCGGGTCATGTGTCTGACATGTGAAAAAAATCAAGGAAGGGGGAGTTAATTTTTTTCACCAATTATCTCTCTCTTCTTCTGTTTTCATGACATAGTGACCAATATGAAAATAACATATCCCAAAAAAGTTACATACAGCAGCTTTTAGGAACTACTTAGATTATCTTTGCCATGGGCCAGTTGTAAATGTGATCAGCTTCACACTGTGTTTTTAGGTCCCCTAACCACTGACTTCCTTTGGATGAAACAAAAGTGCATATAGTTTATATGAATTTTAATTGGGTTTTTTTTGTTGTTGTTGTTTTTATGATTCTGTAGTTGTGGGTTTAAATAACATTACACTGGCGATGTCTTCTCGTAACATATATTTACCCAGTAATATTTTTACATTTCCTATCAACTTATCTTTTAATGCAAAAACACGATGGATCGCCTTGGTGCCCCAAACACAGGCCTTCGCAAGTTTTTTGGGGGAAACCCTATGTACATCTCAAATGTACAATTTAGACTTTTCGGATAGCTTAAATTAAGTGTGTAGATCAACCCATAGCAACACAAATGCATGGTTGACTTGTTGCAGGTTATGGAGGACTTCTGGCACAACACCAAATCAGCAAATTGTTCGTTACCTGGACCATCAGGACCATGATCCTCGGCTTAGACAGTTAGATGTCCATGGTTTTCTCTGCAGTCTCCCTCAGCCTCTCTGGATTTAATATTGCGAAATAGAAAGAGAGCAGAATTCATTATTATCAGAAAGAATAATGAATTGTTTAACCCTAACCATGACACCCAAAATATAAGCAGCTCATCCATAGCCTCACACACTCGCTCTGGCTCCTTCCCCACCAGAGAGGTGACATTTCACGTCCCAAGAGCCAGCTTCTGCAACCGAGGATCAGACTGCCAGAGCCCCCTCCCTCGGCCACCACCCATCACACACTGGACCCGACCCCTTTGGCCCCTCTCATAGGTGGTGGGCTCATGGGAGGAGGGACCCATGTTTCCTCTTTGGGCTGGGCCCGGCCAGGCTCCATGGGTAAAAGCCCAGCCACCAGGCGATTGCCAACGTGCCCCACCTTGAGGCCTGGCTCCAAGGAGGGACCCTGGTGACCCGTGTCCGGGCGAGGGAACACAAAATCCAAAGTTTTTGGGCTGCACTTTGTCTGGTTAGCTCACTTTGGGTGACCCTACCAGGGCCATGAAGCCCCAGACAGCATAGCGCTTAGGATCATTGGGACACTCTAACCCAATGATGTTATGAGATGGATACAAATTCAAGGTAACACTGACCTTAAGACCTCTGATCACCTCCTTAAAGCCTGGAGAAAAAAAAAATATAAGGATGCATTTTGTCTTCCTGTTAACATGAGATTATACACAGCATCACAACATGCAATCAAATTGTTCACTCTTCTTTCAAAATGACAACAATAACAAACTGACTATTAGACTTTACTATAACAGTCTTGTTCTCAGTCGTTTATGGGTTGGTCAACACTGATGGTTTTGTGCTTCTTTAATATGGAAAAATTTCTGGGGAGATTGCAGAGACTGCTCTTTTCCCAATAAAGCCACTGACCTGCCAGAAAAAATTTATTCAACTAAACACCACCTAATAAAAAGAAATAGACATATATCAGTGCGGGACCAGGAAACCTCTATGTAACTTATTACAAAATAAATATGGTAAATCTTGTGGACAAAGGTAAAACTATCTGGCTTGCTTACGAGTTATTTCGCAAGTGTTCTGCAAGCACCAACTCTAATGGAAGAATTTCGGCTCTGAAAAGAGATGAAAATCCCAGTTCCATTTTTTTCATCATGTTAGATTTCAGTTAGTCTTTGTACGTTTTTTTGTATCTTATTTTCATTTCATTTTTCAGTTTTTGGTCACTGAGTTTTTTGTTTTGTTTTTTTTAAGGGGGATGTCATATTTTTCCCATGTTCTTTCACATGTTGTTTGTTTGTTGGTTGTCCTGTTAAAAAAAAACAATAAAAAAGAAAGTTGCAAAAAAGAAAAATCTCACAGCATTCCTGTTCAGATTAAGCAAACGATTTTAATGGTATTGCATTCTTTTCATACGTTTTGCAGCTCAATGTTTTCAAGCCAGGGGTAATGGTTTACTTTTTGATAGCAACAATAATTCAACTACTGTCAGAAATTAATTATATGTTTCCTGATTGTGTGAAGTATGGTCAGATTTAAGTAAAATATTTTCCTAAAATATAAGGAGTTAGTTGAAACATTGTCCATCTGTTGACCAGTATGAATTTGCAGTATTTGCATCCTATTACAAAGATTAAAATAGTGTCGCCTAAATTGTGTAGCAACACAGAACCAAAATCTTTGAACATCTTACGGTTTTGGAAGAAGTCATTGCACTTGAACAAAACCTGTACAGACAGAAGGACATTGGAAAAGCAGAAATGTTCCTTTACTGGGTAAGTGCAGTGGCTTCGAACATTATTGCTGTGAGGCAACACTACCAATGCTATAACACTTTGATCTATGAGACAGATTATCTGTACTGAAATTTTAATTATTTGTTTGCTGCTATTATAATGCATTTTTTATTCTTAAGGGAATAATGATGTATACATCTTTGCACCTTTTGTGTATTTGCATTGAAAGCACAGGAGGACTTCAGTCTTGGTTAATAAAATCTTTTTCTTTAACTTCCCATCACAGTAAAACGAAGCTACAATTATTGGGTGTAATTGATGCAATTGTACCACAATAGACAGTTCTTCAGTGCTTTCTTCTCCTCTCTGTAAAGGGCCATGCTGTCGTTTGCACTATTTTCCTGCCCCCATTGATTGCTATTATGGTAAATCCAATGGGCACAATAGAATTCCGTCAGCAACTGCAGGTTAATTATCTCAGGGTCAGCTACTATAGAATTGTCACAAAAACCTTGTACTTCTCTTTATGTGTGGCACTAAACTGCAAATTCAATATATTAGACCATCTTTATTTGACAAAAAGTCTTTTGTAGCTGTAAAGTTTCAAACATAGTCTTTAACTTTTTGCACTCTAATTTGTAAATTCTTTAAAACATTTCCAACAGCCCCAATAACACAAAGTTTGTCTCTCATTTGAAATGTTTTGTGCATCAAATATGAACAGTAGACAATGTGATAACAAAAAAGACAAACACTGATAAAATGCTAAAACTTTTAAAAGGTATATCCTTTTCATTTCACAACTGTCAGATATTTGACTGGCTTAAGATAAATTGGCCTTATAAGAAGATGCAGAAGCCTATTGATGAGAGAAACCAAGGTAATAGAATTGATCCTGAATATTGTGTTTACTTTCTGCAGGGACTCCAGTGAATCGAATTCCTATCATGGCAAAGCAGGTGCTGGATCTCTACATGCTCTACAAGCTCGTCACAGAAAAAGGCGGCTTAGTGGAAGTCATCAATAAAAAGATATGGCGTGAGATTACCAAAGGCCTCCATCTCCCAACCTCTATTACTAGTGCAGCATTTACTCTCCGAACACAGTAAGTATGACTGTTATAAAAAAGGAGTTTTAGATAAGCTTCAACAAGAATATTTTTAAGACTAGATGTGTTATTCATATGGGAGACATCCTTTTTATTTACACTCTCTGAAGAAAGAAAGAACATTCCTTTCAAATACTACAATTTTGCATAATGCTGTATTTTGTGTTGTAATATAGCAGCTAATGGCAACTGGAATCTGTCAGACATTCCTCAGTGCTTTCTTGTTTGTGTTTAAATCTAAATTAATTTACAATCAGGACAGATGATTGCATTTCTATTTTACAGCAGCTGTAGAAAGTATTCACACCCATGGATCTTTTATTGCTTAAACAAATCAATCATAATAAACAAACTTTTCAATTTTTGACAAAAGAAACTACAAAACTTCCATCAACGTTAAAGTGAAAACAAATTTCTACAAAGTACAGACTGTTAAATAAAGATATGGGACAAACAATAAGTGATTGGATAAATGTTAACCCCTTTCAAGTCAATATCTAGTATATATTCTGTTGGCTGCAATCACCACAGTGTGGCTCAGTGTCAATCAGGTTTGCACATCTGGATGGTGCAATTTTACCTCTTCTTTGCAAGATTGTTCCAGTTTTTTCAGGTTGTGTGGTGAACTTTTCAAGTTCAGCCATAAATTCTATTTCAGATTTAGGTCTGGGTTTTGACTCAGGCTCTCAAAAACAATCCACCTTATAGGCTACAAGCAATTTCTGTGTAAGTCTAGCTGGATGCTTTGGGTCATTGTCTTGCCAGAAAATAATTCTCTGACAACTTAGTTCTCTTGCAGATAGAAACAAATTGTCCTCCAGAATCTTCCTACATTTTGCTACATTCATTTTACCTTCTGCCTTTACAAGCCTTCCAGAACCATCTGCTAAGAAGCATCCTTATAGCATGATGCTGCCACCACCATACTTCACAGTGAGATGATGTGTTTGTGGTGATGGGAGGCTTTTGATGTCCTCCAAATGCATTGACTTGTCTGATGGCCAAAAAGTTAACTTATGGTCTAATTAGACCAAAGAACTTTTTGGCAAACTTCAGTAGAGTTTGTCAAGGCATGCTTCAGTAGTTGCCGCTGTCCCATAAAGCTTTTGACTAGTGAAGAACCAGGGTGACAGTTGCATGTAAGGTATCTCACATTTCGGCTGCTAATGCTTATTAATAGTCGTGGGTATTGTTGCAGTGCAGCCAATTTCCCTACTGTGCAACAGCCAGGTTTGCTTATCTGTACCAACTAAAACCCCTAAACTACCTAACTACCCTAACCCATTCTTCTAGTACCGCCACAACCAATTCAGTAAGGGGAGTGGGAGAATCCTTTTTATATTACAAGTATATTTTAACACTCAGATAGTATATTGACACTACAAACTCATATTGAAAGATGCCTCATTGTTCAAAGAAAATTGTGTGCTGTGTGATGCAGGTATATGAAGTACCTCTATCCATATGAATGTGAAAAGCAGAGATTGAGCTCTCCTGGTGAACTTCAAGCAGCAATAGACAGCAACCGTCGGGAGAGCCGTAGGCAGAACTTCAGTTCTACCATCTTCAGCTATTCTGTCGCTGGCCCACAGACTTCTCTCCCAACAACAAAAATACAGCCACATGTACCAATGCTTTCTCACCAAAGCAACTATTACACCCAGGCCCCTTCTGTCAAAAGAGGTAAGATACTTGTTACCAATATGAGACCAGATTAAGACACATACTTGTGCTAAAACATTTAAACTAATTAAGTTTTAAAGAGCCAGTATTATCCAGGCACCTATTGGCAGTTCATAGCACAATCAAGTGACTTAAGGCTTGACTGGTCTTGTGGCTTAGTTGCCCTGGAATTGTAGCACTAGCAGCTTACCAGGCTTATCTCCAAGCTTAAAAATCCTATACTATTATTGGTTAAAGTAATGCAACGTTCCAGCCAAAAACAGCCAATTAGAACCAGGAGGACGCTCTTAGTGCTGTCAATCAACTCATTTACTCACTACTAAATATGCTAAGGGGGAGAAACACCTTATTACAGGAAAGATGTTTATCTGCTGTCATTACCTGACTATAGAATGTAAAAAATTAATAAGAATTGCTTAAGTATTTGATGTATTGGTGCTAGCTACAGCATAGGGATGAGCAGCCACATGAGGTTTGATTGAAAGCACTAAAACTCTCCTGCCACTGACTGGTTGTTTCTAGATAGCATTGGGATAAGGCAGAGGATTAGATTGTTCACAGATTATCTCTCATGCCATACTGTGAAAACATAATGAGAGTTTTAACAAATATGTATTAAAGTTATTTACTACAGCTTTAAATTCACTGAGGGGAGGATGGACAGGGGACTAGGAATAGAGCTGCTGCTGACTGACTCATCTGTTGTTAAGTGAAAAGGTGCAGGTACATGTTCAGTATTTGAATATGTTGGTAATTTCTTTCCTTAATTTGTTAAATGCTAGTGAAAAGGAAGCAAACAGTCAGTAGCTAAGCTAACTATGCTGAATGGTTGATAATCTCACACAGTCTATCCAGTGCTCAGAGAAAAACTGGGTTACAAATGGACACTTTTACCTTTTTCTCTCTTTCTTTCTACTTTTTGAACACATAACTTTATTATTTTACTCAGCAGCATAGTAACAGTCACAATCGTTCTTGTCTGCTGAACACTGTCACTGTCAAGCACTCCAAGCAGGAATGAACCATTTCATGCAGATTCAGGGTATTGAGCGCAAATGTCTGCTTTTTGGTCTGGGAGGGGTAAAATTTGTTTTTTACTGCTAAAAACAATTTTAGAAAACACAGTATAATTAATTTCATAATTGACAGGGCCCCATTTTTAATTTCTATGAAAAAAAAATGTGGAGGGCCCCCTGTTGGTCAGGGACCCTTGGAATTGTCATAACTTTTCCCCTGCATTCATATCTGAGTTGAAGTATTTTATGAAAAGTATTGTTCATAGGAGAGAGGGAGCTTTGAAGTAACTAATACAGGGAATGATGATGGTTTACATGCTTTCAGTTCTAATTGGCACCAGCCAGCATCTGGTTGTTGAAGCAAAAAACTACTTTGTGAAAGTTTTCTGCCCTGTAATAATGCATTAGGTTGGGTAGAGCCAGAGACACTTTTTCTAGCTCAGATAGAACCTCATACAGATTCTGGGGTGTACCTTACCTCAGATGAACAAAGATTGGGATACTCTGAAAGAGATATATAAATCTGTGCAATATCCATCCATCCATCCATCCATCCATCCATCCATCCATCCATCCATCCATCCATCCATCCATCCATCCATCCATCCATCCATCTTCTGCCGCTTATCCGGGTCGTGTCACGGGAGTAGCGCAATATATTTATTTTAAAATGCTATTTTGTATTGAACTTTAATTCTGTTCTAAGAAAGGAAAGGGCAAGTAATTTTATGTCATTTGGAGTGCTGAGTCATTAATAAGAAAACATTCACTCTATAGGAAGTTCAACTTATTTCTTGAAAATTTACTAAAATTGTGAGAATTTGGTTTTCTGTGTGTCAATTTAGTTCTTGTGTTGTCTCATCTGCCCCTTATTGATCAGCTGTGTCCTGTTTTCCCTGATTACCTTCCCTGTGTATGTAATCCCACCTGTTTCTGTGTTGGTCTGCTGGGGGACTTCCACTGCTCACATGGGCAATGTTAGTGAGACCTGGAGGGGTGTGGCTGGGCAGAATGGGCCCCCTCATCTGAATCTGAGTGGGGGCCCCCTCATCTGAATCTGAGTGGGGGGGCCCATTCTATTGTTGGACTTCTGTGCTCATCATGCTTTGTCCATAACAAAACCATGTTCAGGCATAAGGGTCTCCATATGTGCTCTTGGCACCAGGACACCCAAGCCTGCAGTTTGATGATCGAGTTTGTAGTCGTTTCATCAGCTCTGGGGCTGCATGTCTTGGACACTCAGGTGAAGAGAGGTGCGGAGCTGTCCACTGACTACTACCTGGTGGTGAGTTGGCTCTGGTGGATGCTGGTCAGACCTGGCAGACCCAAACGTGTTGTGAGGGTCTGCTGGGAACGTCTGGCAGAGTTTCCCGTGATACGGAGGTTTAACTCCCATTTCCGGGAGAACTTAGAACACGTTTTGGGGGATGTGGAGAACATTGAGGCTGAGTGGACAATTATTCCATGTCACTGTTGTCGAGGCTGCCTATCAGAGCTGTTGGTTGCCGCCTTTCATGGCGGCAATCTTTGAATCCGCTGGTGGGCACCAAAGGTGAGGGATGCTGTTAGGTTGAAGCAGTCCTATCAGGCTGGTTGCTTAGGCAAATACTTAGGCATGAGAGTAATTTGGAGAGGCCATGGAGAAAGACTTCTGCAAGGCTTCGAGGCGATTCTGTACAGCACCAACATTGTTTATAGTGGGGATAGTGTGCTACTGACCTCAATTCAGGATATTGTGTTCTGGTGGGCAGAATACTTCCCACCAACATGCTTTCCATTTAGAAAGCAGAATCTGGGGTCTATGAGTCAGGGTCTCCCATCTCTGGAGATGAGGTTGCCAAGGTGGTTAAATAACTCCTCAGGGGCAAAGGCCCAGGGGTGGATGAGATTTGACGCGACTCTGCAATATTTCATGGACATTGGGGGTAGTTCCCCTGGATTAGCAGGACAGGATAGGATGGTGATCCCCTTTTTCAAAAAGGAGTCCACAGAGTGTGTCCCACCTCCAGAGGTGGGACACACACACATATATATATATATATATATATATATATATATATATATATATATATATATATATATATATATATATATATATATATATATATATATATATATATATATATCCAGTCATAACACTTGGTTATGTCGTTCCATGTACACTTTCCCTGCCAGTATCTTGCACCCTGCTGTGATGTGCTGGACTGTCTCAGGGGCCTCCTTGCACAACCTACACCTTGGGTCTTGTCTGGTGTGGTAGATCTGGGCCTCTATTGCTCTGGTGTTTAGGGCCTGTTCCTGGGCGGCCAGGATGAGGGCCTCTGTGCTGTCCTTGAGTCCAGCTTTTTCCAGCCATTGGTAGGATTTACTGATATCAGCCACTTGGGTTATTTGCTGGTGGTACATCCCATGTAGGGGCTTGTCCTCCCATGATGGTATCTCTGGCACCTCAACCTCCGTTCCCTGTTGTCTGAGACATTCACTGAGCACATTGTCTGTTGAGGCTTTGTCCCTGATGTATTTATGGATCTTAGTTGTTTCGTCCTGGACAGTGGTTCTCACACTCACTAGTCCTCTGCCTCCGTCCTTGCGGCTCGTGTACAGTCTCATATATATATATATATATATATATATATATATATATATATATATATATATATATATATATATATATATATATATATATATATATATATATATATATATATATATATATATGAGCGTGTGTGTAAATCTCTTATCCTGTCACTCTATGTGTCAGCATAACATAAAGCCTGTCTGATCTGGTTGTATGATTTGGATGATAAATTCAAGTTGTCTTGAATTTATCATGCTATGAGTACACATAGATCTCAGCAGTGATACAGGTCTGGCAGTCAGTGGGATCCTTACCCTCTTTGGGAATTACTACTATGGTGGCTTCTGACCAAGATGGTGCCATAGTTTTGGATTCTAAAGGTCCCAATATACTCTTGCATGCTTCAATTCAAAGAGGTCTGTGTGTAGTTGAAATGGACTCAACTCGAACATCGGCGCAAGGGCTAATTATTATGACACTGTAAAAGTGCTCTGTGTCACACAGTAAACTTCACAACGGAAAACAGTGTTTACAAGCCCATAACCCTTCACTACACATAACAATATGTACCAAAATACGATGCTAACTTATAACAACTATACATAACAGCATAAACTCCATAAAGGACTAAAACGCTGAATCATTACATTTTGTATGGAAAAGCAATTTCTGATGAGCTAAGCTCTTGAATCCTAAAAATCCCCTCTTTAGTTTTTTTTGGGGGGTCTTGGGAGAAAATATTAACCATTTGTAACTGTATTTGTAATAGTTCCCAGGTTGTGTGCTATGATATAGGTCCTCCATAACGCATCTTTTACACCTGTGTCTCCAGAACAGTGAATACATTTCTTATTCTGTCACTGTCCAAATTCTTGCAACACTGCTCTTGCTTTTTCCATTTCTTTTCTAAATGCTCATATTGAGTTTTCCTCTCTGCCTCTGTGCTTTCTCTCTTGACAGATGATAGACAAGAGTCCATATTGAACCTGTCTACCAACGGCATTAACAGCATCAACATGTCAATAGAAATAAATGGAGTTGTCTACACAGGTAAATAGACGGTCTTTTGCTGGTGTAATTGCAGCGAGGAAACTCAATAAGTTATAGCAATGCCCTAGTGTTGAGTCCTTCACACAATTTGATGTCTTTTCTATAAAATCCAACCTGATGAAGCAGGCAGCGCTACAGAGTTTAAAAAGTTAGAAATCTTAAAATGGGACCTTTGGATTTCAGTTCGATGGAGCTTGGTGTGTGTGTGTGTGTGTGTGTGTGTGTGTGTGTGTGGTGTGTGTGTGTGTGTGTGTGTGTGGGTGTGTGTGTGTGTGTGTGTGTGTGTGTGTGTGTGTGTGTGTGTGTGTGTGGGAGAGCATTTGGCAGCCTTAACATCCAATGTATGTCTTCTTTTTTATCTATCTATCTATCTATCTATCTATCTATCTATCTATCTATCTATCTATCTATCTATCTATCTATCTATTTATATCTATCTATCTATCTATCTATCTATCTATCTATCTATCTATCTATCTACACTGCTCAAAAAAATAAAGGGAAAAATAAAGACCAAATAACACATCCTAGATCTGAATGAATGAAATAAATATGAAAATAATTTCCACCTGTTGTCTATTCCATTTGCATAACAGCAGGTGATATTGATTGTCAATCAGTGTTGCTTTCTAAGCAAAACTGATTGCTTAGAAATAAAGGTTTGATTTCACACAAGTTTGATTTACTTGTTATATTGTGTTGTTGAGTGTTCTCTCTCTCTCTCTCTCTCTCTCTCTCTCTCTCTCTCTCTCTCTCTCTCTCTCTATATATATATATATATATATATATAGAGAGAGAGAGAGAGAGAAAGAGAGAGAGAGAGCCCTCAGGGGCTGGATGAGACCAGCCCCTGACGGGAGCTTGAGACCAAAGCTTTATGCTGAAAAAGATGCCAAACAGAGTAAAATTTGTAGAACATCAGTATAGTTCTATATATATATATATATATATATAGAGAGAGAGAGAGAGAGAGAGAGAGAGAGAGAGAGAGAGAGAGAGAGAGAGAGAGGCCTGGGAGCTTGAGGGTTCTGCGCAGTATCTTGGCTGTGCCAAGGACTGCTGCACATTTCTGGACTGAGATGTCTGATGTTGTTCCTGGGATCTGTTGTAGCCACTGCTCCAGTTTTGGGGTTACTGCCCCGAGGGCCCCGATGACCACAGGCACCACTGTGGTCTTCACCTTCCAGGCCCTCTCCAGTTTCCCTGAGGCCCTGGTATTTCTCCAGTTTCTCCTTTTTCCTGATGTTGCAATCACTTGGTATTGCTACATCTATCACAACAGCTTTCCTCTGTTGTTTATCCGCTACAACAATGTCTGGGTGGTTCGCCCTTACATATATATATACACACACACACACACATTTTTCTTCCCCCTCCAGGGTGTCTTTTGTGGGCTCTAGTGTCCCTTATATAAAAGTAGGCTGACAGGAAAGGGGCAAGTAGAGGGAGGGAAAGCATGCAGCAAATATCGTCATAACATTAACCTATAGTAATGATGCAAAGTATTTTTATAGAAATGGTCTCAAACAAAAGTCCTGGAGCGTCAGATTCCTGAAATTTCTAGATTTTCCTTTCTCCTACACATTTGAATTAACTGCCTCATTAGCATGCAGTGAAGCTCTGCAGAGCTCTGCTCATGAGCTAATATGGAGCCAGGTGTGCTGAAGCAGAGAAACATCTAAACATTGGATGAGACCAGCCCCTGAGGACGGGAGCTTGAGACCAAAGCTTTATGCTGAAAAAGATGCCAAACAGAGTAAAATTTGTAGAACATCAGTATAGATTTCACAAATACAGAAAAGATTTAACCTATCACAAACTGGGTTTAATACACTATATTATGAGTATATAATCATCTTCCACTCTTTGTAATTTACAAATTTAAAAATCCTCAAGGTAGAGAAAAACAAAATAATTGCCCTTTAGCAGGACGTTTTTTTACTCACTTAACAAATCATATTTCAAAGTGACCAATTTGGGTGTCAACAACTGATCATAATAAAATCCGTAGGGATCAAGGAATTAACAGTGTGTGACTGGATAAATAACTGAATTCAGTGTGAAACGCGTTGTGAACTTTATTAAGAGCTAAACAAATATAAACCTTTTACCATGACAGTTTGCAACAAAGTATAAAAATATTAGCTTTGTCCAGTTAGAAAACAATGGCACAAAATAATTAGATGCAAACAATGGAAAAATATGAGAACAACAATATACCTGGTCCTGTATCATGTGGTCAATTTTCTTAGACAGTGTTTCAATGTGTTGTAAACCACAATCAATCAGATTTAGTTGTATTGAACATTTCAGCAACAAGGCATTTCAAAGTGCTTTACACAAAAAAATACAAAGCTGTAGAATACAGTCAATAATTGTTAAGTGACATCATTACACATCAGATCATTGATTAATGTTTCATGGTTATGTTTCAAAAGCAACTCTAAACAGGTAGGTTTTTAGTCTAGATTTGACGGTACTCAGTGTTTCCGTTGTTATGCAGTTTTCTGGAGGTTTGTTCCAGATTTGCTTTTATCTGATGATTCCAGAAGATCATCATCAGTTCGCCCTTGTTGTTTGTGTTCCTGAGCATCTTGCCTGCTGTTGTTGGTCAGAAGGGCCGATTACAGTCTCTCTTCGGTTAACCTATCCCAGAGCAGCTGTAGCTGCAATCTGGTAGCTTGCCATCATTGTGTGAATGTGCCCTTTGAGGTTTCAATGTGGGATATAAAGAGCATTGCAAATGCATTAATTGTTATTTTTTGTCCCAAAAATAACAATTAGGTCACTTTCTTGGGCTAAAAACTGTTGTAAGGTTAAGTAAGGTGAAATAGCCTTTTTTGTTTTCAAGCTACAGTTGTTTAATAGAAAATCTTAACTGTAATGGTGGTAAGTTGGAGTTCAATAAAGTAAACAGATTCTTACATCATCCACAAGTAACACGTTTCACTTTTTTCTTTTTAGGCGTTCTCTTTGCCCAGCAGTCAACAGTGACAGGAATTATGGAACAACACAAGAAGCAGAGTAACACTCAGGGAAAGCCCGGGGCAACATTTTTCCAACCCTCTTGTTTCTCTTACTCTACTGTTTCACTTCATGGACAAAGAAACTCTTGCAACTGACCTGAATGAACCGAATTAGGATTTGTTCCTTTGTTCTTCAAGACAACAAGCTTGCCATCTGAGCAGGAACATTTCAACACCATGATGTTAAGCTTTTTGGCCATCTACCCCTGATTCCAGAAGTATCTTAGGAATATAATATACACCAATGAAACTTTTACAACACTTTTGATTAATTTCCTTACTATCCTTTGAAGAAAGAAACACAAACATAAAGATAGCACATCAAACACAACTACACTGCAAACATCTTACAAAATGACTTTTGTAACCATTTAGTTTCATGTGCTCATTAGGAACGTTGCTCAAATTTAACTGATTACAAAAATTTCTGTCAACCATAGCTTTTGCTTCAATGTTGTGAGAAGTTTTCACTACACAAAAGAGTAGTGTATTAAAGACATATTATTCTTTGAAGAAAGAATTGCTGTACCTGCTACTATCTCACTATAAAGACATACCATGTCATTATATTTAGATTATTTCATTATTAAATTATTATTAAAGCTAAGTCATCATATCAAGTCTTCAGAGAGAGATTTTTTATCACAATGGCAGAAATGGGCTTCCATACTTTACCTTCTTTTTTTACTTTTCCTTATGTAACCAAGCCATCCTCATTTGGATAGTCTGCCTCATTATGCAAATGAGGAAGAGCAGCGTTTTAAGTCTTCTTAAAAAGATAAGGCTCTCTATCTTCTTCAACAAAGATAGCAAGCAGTTCATCAATGAGCTGCAACTTAGCAACTTAGAATAATAGTAAGCTGAAGTAAGGTAATTTTAATTATATAGCACATTTTCAGCAACAAGGCAATTCCAAGTATGCTGTACATGAGGAAATACAAACAAAATAAAAGAAAAGCAGGAGAGAAGCAAAGGTATTCCATAATTTATAAAGTAGTAGGAGTTTCTTTGAATAAACTAATAGAAAAGAAAAATAGTTTCTCTGGATTCTAAGTTTATTCTGATTCCTGGTTTGGGTTGAGTGAAGTATAAAACTGAACGTTACTATTCTAGGTTGCTAAGCAGAATAAGAATAGGAACACCAGGAGTTTCTCTGCATAAACTAAAAGGAGTTTCTCAGGGTCTTTTTGTTCTAACCCTGTTTTGGGTTGAGTGAAGGATATAAAGTAGAAGCTCCTATTACTTTCATTCAGACAGAACGGTTAGCGACTGTCATGGACTCAGAGATCCACCGCTGGCTTTTTCATGGTTTGAACAAAGCGGCTGCTGAAGTTAGCTTCCAGTTGAAGCTTCAGGCATCTTTCGGTTGCCCAGACGTTGCAAGGCAAACTAACACTAATGTTAGTTTGCCTAACAAACTAACATTTGCCTAATGTTAGGCAAAAAAAAATTAGATTTTATGAATGTTAAATCAAATTGATTTAATATTGATATTAAATCAATTTGAATATTAATTAGAAAAGTTCACAAATAAAAACCCATTATAGATTAATTACACAGATGTTTTAAAGTTTTCAGGTTTAATGATTTTTAGTTACAACATGGCATTTAAGATTAGAATATTACATCAACAGTGAAGAAATGAGTAATACCTGCTTAAAGGTTATTTTCAAAAGATACTTTTAATCTAACATACAAGACTCACCGGCACTCATTCTAATTTATTAAATATTACGTAATATGAAACTTGTACATTTTGTCAGTTTTGGTCCTACAAAGAATCTAACTTTGTACCACAGGACTAGTATTGTATAGTAACGAAGTAAAACTACTTCACTACTTTACTTAAGTATATTTTGGAGTACTTCATACTTTCCTCGAGTAAGAAGATTTTTGATAACTTTCACTTTTACTTCACTACATTTCCGAACTTCATTGCATACTTTTACTTTATTTTTTTACACATTTTCAATGTGTGGTTTAGTTACTCGTTACAAAAAAGCAAGAGAGAAACGCAAATGTTTTGATCCCACCTACTGATTGACTGCAACAAAGTCGGTAGCCGACTTGCCTGGGCTTGTTCATCTCCACCAATAGGATGCACAGGTTTGCACCTCCCTACCTACGTCAAAAAGTCCAGCAAACAGTCTGATTGGTCAGTGCTCCGTTTGTGTAGGTTTGTGCCGTTAAAATGTTCGTTTGTGCAGCTTTGGTTTCCGAGATATTAAAATGATTTTTTTAGGCCATCCAGAGTAACCATCCCCCCATTTTGCTCCAAAGTGGGCTGGTTCGTTAGTGCTCCGTTTGTGCCGTTAAAACAAACGCAGCAAAGTTGTTTTCAATTTGGATTTTGGCTATTCCAATATCCGGTGTGAGCGGCGTCTAGCTCGAGGTTGATCAGATTCATGAACGCTAATTTCGGCCAGTCGTTCTCTAGGACTCCCCCTTCCTCCAGCGCTCGGAGGTTCACTCAGGGAGAGTCAACAAATTTTACATCCAAACTCTCCTGAGAAACTAATGGAAATAGATTTCTTGCCTTGTGACCAACTGACACAAAATTCATGACACAAAATATTGAGTATGAAGTAGTCATACTCAATATTTTCAGTAATTGTAATCTTAAAAGTATATATTTTGGATGGCCTAAAAAAATAATTTTTAATATCTCGGAAACCAAAGCTGCACAAAACGAAAATTTAACGGCACAAACGGAGCACAAACGGAGCACTAACCAATCAGACTATTTGCTGGATTTTTTGACGTAGGTGGGTGTCAGCTTCATGGAGGTCTGTTTCGTTTCTCCCATTAAACACCAAGTTAACAAAAAAGCTCTCCCTCTTCTGATGCCAAATAAGCTGCATTTCCCTCCCAATTCTTTTTCTTTTGCATAATGACCAGTTGTGTTCACCTATAGTTTGTGAAGTAGAGTAATCATAATGGGTTTTTTTCTTCATGTTGGCCGCACTTTCTGTACTGACTATTTATTTTTCTCATTTTCAACACTGACCTTACTTAAAGGGAAAACTTAAGGCTTTCTGTCCTGGAGGGTTTACTAAGAAGCTATTTCGGTTGTAAAGCAGGTTAAGTTAACCTAAAGCAGGTTAAGTTAACCTTGTGGTTTAGGTAAACCACAACTAAATGATGCCTGCAGGTTTATCTATTAGCAGGTTTCATTTTGCCTGCACTTGGTTCTGTACATTATTTTAAGTGTATTTGACAAGTTTACCACAATATAAAAATGTCATTCAAACTGCATTTGCCTTGTTTTACTTTTTACTTGTACTTTTCATTACATTACTTGAGTACATCCATTTTTACAGTAATTTCCATATTTAAGTACAAGACATTTCAGGTACTTTAATACTTTAACTCAAGTAACGTTTCAATCAGTGACTTACTTTTACCAAAGTCATATTTTGGAGCGGTACTTATACTTTTACTTGACTCCGAGATTTCAGTACTTTATACAACACTGCACAGGACAAACAAAAACACTTTACTGTGTCTTTGAGTAGCATGTAATTTTGTCGAGGTCTGACATAAATCTATGGCTTTTTAACAGTGTTCATTTTAAGCATGACTTACCAGCAGAATGACAATCAATAGGGAAGAAATAAAACATGGCAAGGACTCAATCTCCGGAAAGAATTAGATGAAGTTGTTAACAGATAATGGAAAAAAGCCAGTAAGTGTTTTCTGAGACAATCAAGCATGTCTTGTCAGTCTTTTTTTACATACACTGATAAATATAACAAACTGTCTAGCTTCACAGTTTGTTGTTTTTATTAGTTTATTTTGTAAACTTAATGAGTTTCTTAATGAGTTTAAAATAGAGAAAGTATAATGAAGCCTAGGCGCAAATTCAAACTGGAAGAGTCTTCCTAGTCCCACCTGAATCTTCCAATTGGTGCATCCTGCTCATCACCGTCGACCAATCAACGCTGGTCCAAGACGTCACGTCCAATCACCGTCCAAGTCCCAGCTGATAAGGACCTCCATCCATGGCATCTTCCGCTTTCCAGCAGAGCTCAACCCACCATCTCCCCCCTCCACTCGCCCAGCCAACCTCCACCACTAGTGCCGGGTCCCTGGGGGATGACGTTCCTATCAGCATCGGGAATGCTCATCCGAGTTTATCGCAAAAAGTTTTGCGATAATCGATGTCCTCAGCTAGGGCCTGAGCGCCAAAGACTTTAATTTTGTATGTCAATAAACTCTTCTAATTGTCTTCCTCTCTCTCAGTCTGAGTCTCTCCAGATTGAAATCCAGTGATATATTGTCTGGTTGGAAAATTCATAACAACTTGCAATAAAAAATCCTCAGCATCAAGTTTACTTGGTATAAGTGCAATAAATAATCATCTTCACATGGTATATATGTATACATCTACACATACATGTATATACACACAAACACACATACACAATCACACACGCACACTCACCAAGTTCACATGGCACAATTAAAAAATTTTTGCCTCGATTTTGCCCTTAGGACAATCTTAGAACATTCCGAGTTCTAAGATTGTCGCTTGCAATCATTATAATCGATCATCCTTCGCTGTGGTTATTAAACAGAATGTTGGACCGCTTCGATCTAAAATCGCGGTTAATCAGAATGTTAGATTGTCTTGAACAGGTGTTTTGTTTATCTGTGCTATCCAAAAATCCCTCCTTTCTTGTGGTGCATGCACACATTGATGCTATGTGACACTGCTTACTCAGCAGATTTCTTATAAATACATCCTACCCGTGGAAGTTTTGTTCCATGTGCTTTATTTAATCAAAGATCATGGTAAGCTTCATGTAACCAGGTGAAAACTGAGGAACATGTTAAATGTATTTTGTAAACCATGTTTTGTTTGTATTTCACCGACTGGTTGTAATTCTTGTTTTTGCCAGCATGTGCTGCTGTTGTTGTATAGAGGTCTAAAGTGACAGGAAATGGAAAAAACAAACAAACTCTAGTTTATGTACCGTGGCTAGCAAACGGAAGAGAAGGACATTTTGTGCTCCGAGACCTTCTGGAAAGATTATATGGCCACCTGAGCAGAGGATCCGAGTGCTCGGTAATTAATGTCGAAACTGAATTATCTTCTGTGAATAAAGCTAAGGACAGGATGTTACTGTTTTTATTTGTTTGTTCTCCTATAGAAGTGCCACTGCCGTTTATTACACCCTTTGTTAGAGTTTAGCTTTTATGTGAAGCTACGTTATTACATCGGGAGCCCGCCATTTTCACTGAACCTGAGGCTTTATATTGATAGAATACGAGTCATTTCTTTCAGCATATATTGATCCTCATTCTTTCATTTGTTTCTTTGCAACTCAGAGAGAGAAAAGTGTTGTTTTTCATCTAAAAATAAAGGACCCCCTTTTTTTTTAAAACTCTGTGTACTGCATTACTCCCGGCTTCATTTATTTAATTTATTTTATACACGGCTTTCCTTAAGCTGTAATATTACTTCATGTTTTTAGTTTACATGACAGGCAGCTTGTAATGTAAATGGCTATAGTTTGCCGTCTGTAAAGTCGTTACTATTGTAAACAAGTCATTGTTTGGCGGTTAATCGGGACAAAATAAGTTTTATGGGCAATTTTGTCCCTATATTGTAAAATATTTTAGTTTAACTACACTCTTTTTATTATTAAATCTTGATAAACAGATGTTGGTAGTAAGATGTGGGATTGAAGCTGTAATAGCCATGTAATATTAGTGTATATTAATCATATCCTATCATTTTCAGGAGCACAGTGACCTGTGCAGTTCGGTGGACACATTGTGGCTGCGCTGCATCTGATAAAGAGTGTTATACAATGGATTAAAACGCAAAAAAGAGTTGCGGTGATCGGTATTTGTAGATGTTTGTGTTTAATTTAATTCCAATTAAAACCTGTTTCCCCTGTATTTCATTCTTACAGACACTTTTCTGATTCAAATATTTTTAAAAAGGTAGGATATTCTAATAAAAGGATTAGTGCATACATCTACGATAGCTTTTGATTTTAATTGGGTAGAATATTCAGATAAAGGTAGTGATCTTCTTGTGGTTTTGTCATGTATATAATTGTTCCAATGCTAAGCATAACTCTTTAGCTTCCACTTCAGTTCTGTCACTCAAATAATGTCATCCAATGTATTCAACATTAACACAATCCGCTGTGGTTTTTCATTTGTAAATATGAAGTAGCAGTTTTGGACACATCACCAACAGATACTTAGCTATCTATCCGTGCTACGGTAGGAAAATCTGATGAGGTAGCACTGATAGTCAGAACAGCCCCTCCCCAATGTTGGAGAAATCTAGAATTAAGCTAGCTGTTAGCTATGACTCTGCAGTACAAACAAACAAAAAAACCCTCCAGTAAGTAAATACTTAAAGCAAAAGACATGGAACACCTTTTATTTACCTTCACTGCTCAATAGGAAGAAACACATTAACAATAAAAATCAGACTGCAGTTATTTCATTAGTTTGGCTGAATCATAATAAACTGCCTCATTATGACTTAAATCTAAACTAGCTAAACTGGGTACGTTGCTTTCGTAAACTTCTCTCTTTTCTGTCGAAGGTAGCCAATATTTCAATTATATTTAATTCTCGTACTTTAATAAGTAGAGTGAAAGCTTGAGTGTTACCAGTAGCTGACAGCTCTGTATGGGAGCCCAGAGCAGAGGGGCTATTGCAGAGCAGTTGACGGTAAATAATAATAAAGCAAGTCTTTATTTCTTATCATCTTCAATATAGAGGCTTTAAAACCACAAAATAAAATCTTGAGTACTTTTCAAGAAAACTCTAGTGCTGAGCCTTAAGTTAATGATACACCCAGATATTCAATTTCTACATATTTATAGGTTCTCATCCATCCAAGACATGGAAAAATAAAAAAAAGTAAAGCAACTTGAGTTATAATTTAAATAACACATAACTTGTATTAAGAGCAACTGCAATAAATCAATATTTATGAGGAATTTTATTAAGTGGAGTCACCCATGAAAACTTGTTTTTAGTCAGAACCTTAAATTTTTGTAAAGCTGTAGCAGAGACAAGATCAGGGACACTGAACCAAACTCATTTAATCGACATTTGCATCTTCTACGGTCTCAACAGGTTGTTTACTGAGAAAAACATGTTTGATACGCATTGCTACATACCACTCATTTTTAGTGGTGCATCTTGAACACAATAAAAAAATTAAACCACATTTTACGTTACATTTAACAGTAACTTTGGCAACCCTCCCCAAAATCACTAAGATTTTCCTGTGGACAGGCACCCCTTCAAGAATGAGATGGGATTTACGCGCCTTGCAAACACTGTACAGACTGATTTATAAATCAAAAAAACTCAAAGGCGTTTACATAATTTTTGATGTTAGCACCTCTGAGATCTAGAATTAATGGGATATCAAGCCAAAGAAAACTCAGCAGCTGTTGCTAGGGCCCCTAGAAATGATTGAATTGTAACACAGACCATAGATCTAAACATGTAGCATCATTTATAGAGAATGACAATGTCACAAAATTTTATTTAGTGCATTCAGCTGAGGGAAAACAGTACATTTAGGATTTAATTAGGAAGTTTACTTTGTAAACATTTAAAGAATCATCTTGATAATTTGAATTGTTGTGTTACCATGGCTACAATATGGTGTAATCTTTGTGTTTGAATTGGATTTGTTCACAAATACATCACAGCAAGTAACCAATAATCAGTGACTGATTTTAAATTTGGCCAATAAACCTGGTCTCCCTCTCACAGGTTTCACCTTATCGATATTTTTTCTGATGTTTATTTATGAACTCTAAAAGCTCTAGACCGAATTTCCCTTTAACACTTGAGGGTCTGCAGTAACTTCTATTGTATTTATAGTCGCTCACCTCCATCCCAGATCCTGTCAACAGTTTCTACCAGGCGGCTTTAACCCACCTGGTAGAAAGGTTGAGGAGAAGCCGAGCGAACCTGGTACCACCTGGTACCATCTGGTGACTCCTCACCACCCGGTACCATCTGGTAACTCCTCACCACCTGGTACCATCTGGTGACTCCTCACCACCTGGTACCATCTGGTGACTCCTCACCACCTGGTACCATCTGGTGACTCCTCACCACCTTGTACCATCTGGTGACTCCTCACCACCTGGTACCATCTAGTGACTCCTCACCACCTGGTACCATCTGGTGACTCCTCACCACCTTGTACCATCTGGTGACTCCTCACCACCCGGTACCATCTGGTAACTCCTCACCACCTGGTACCATCTGGTGACTCCTCACCACCTGGTACCATCTGGTGACTCCTCACCACCTGGTACCATCTAGTGACTCCTCACCACCTGGTACCATCTGGTGACTCCTCACCACCTTGTACCATCTGGTGACTCCTCACCACCTGGTACCATCTAGTGACTCCTCACCACCTGGTACCATCTGGTGACTCCTCACCACCTGGTACCATCTGGTGACTCCTCACCACCTTGTACCATCTGGTGACTCCTCACCACCTGGTACCATCTGGTGACTCCTCACCACCTGGTACCACCTGGTAACTCCTCACCACCTGGTATCATCTGGTGACTCCTCACCACCTGGTACCATCAGGTGACTCATCACCACGAGTCGCAACGCAGATGGTACCAATCTGGTGACTCGTACCAGATGGTACCAGGGTTTTGAGCTGCGTCGCGACTCGTGGTGACAGACGTAGTACCGTGTCTAATGTCAGGATGTCTGAGATAAAGACAGACCTTCTTATATCTGTCAGTTTGACCGACCCAGACTGCCTGTAGAACCGGGCATTTAGCAGAGTAGTTAGCATTTCTTTGTTTAGAGGCATTTCTGTGTCATATTGCGAAGACAATTATGAAAATATAAATAGAGTTTTTTTTAAGTCAACATCAGACCTATGTTTTTATTTACAAACCAGTGTATAAAACATATTCTTGCCCATAATATGATAGAGGCACAGATCAGCGCCCCTCCTCTTCACCATGGACCCGGAGTTTGAACAACATGGAGGCAGAAACTCAGTCTAACAATGACTAAGAAATAAAGTAGTTTATTTTGCTAAATAAACTACTTAGCAAAATAGTTTATTTTTGCTAAATTATTATACTTAGCTAAATATTATTGCTGAGGGGCACAAGCAGGCCTCCTGACACAGATTTTTAAAAATAATAAAAAAAATTGATTTTTTTTTTTTTTTTTTTTTGAAAAAACAACCTGAAAAAGGGCACTAGGGGCATCAAAAATAAAAGGGGCAGGTGCTAAAGCACATGCCTGTCCAGCTCATTAAGTCCACAAAAGCAGGAATTCAAAAAATTAGAATACTCTGCAGAAACCAGCCCAAATTTTACAGGGCATTAATGTTGCAAATTGAGTGTGACACACTATTCATCTACTAAACTCAAAGCACCACTTGATACCCTCCATAGGAAGGGTAAGCCACAAAAGTTCGTAGCTAAAGATGCTGGCTGTTCAGAGAGCTGTGTCCAGGAATATCAATGGAAATCTGATGAAAGGGCACCAGCCAAAGAGATGATGGTGGATTAAATTTATCAAATCGAGAAGATTCAAGAATCCGGCACAACTTCAAAAACCACTGCAGTATGCCAGGAGGAGGGAGAAGAGATTTATGATTTGTTTAATGATTATCTTATATTACGTCATAGCAAACGTTTTAATACATGTAAAATCTTTTTTTTTTGTTAATTACATGCTGCAGCTTTACGCAGACATTTGGTGAGAGTTCACTGCCACGTGGAGGTTGAGCATCACTATGTCTGAAATATTATTCCTCAGTAGCGCATGGCAGCTTTTCAACAGCGATAGCAAAACCAGCATCGTACACAACTATCTAGATGACTCAAATTATTTTTTGGGTTGTTCATTTAGCTTTCTGGTTGTCATGCTCATCCAGGTGAGAATTGGTCCAGGTGCGCTGCTTTTTGCTGTCCGAATCCTCCAGGTGTCTTTTTTTCTGTTTGCCTTTCCTTTTACTGTTACTAAGTAAACTTGGTGGTGGTACTGACTGTATTTTACTGCAAAGTATTAAAAACCTCTATTAGAAAATCACAAAATTTACAAAGGAAACTGATGGATACACTAAATTCAAAAATATATATTTTATAAAAAAATTTTGTCCCCCCACCTGACAACACTATCTCTGAGATATGTAAGTCAATGTGTTGAGCACTGATGACGCACTAAAAATCCGATGCAGATTGGTTGATGTATAAAAGGAGGTATAGCTGTTGAAATAATCTACTGGGAGCAGTGGAGTCAAATTACAATTTAAGGCAACTGGGCTCATTAGAAGTTAAAGGTAAATCATGTTTGGTGCAAATCAGATGATGCATGTGTGATTTAGAGTCAAATGTATGCGAACGGCGAGACTGGAATTCGCCATTCAGCCATGCCCACATGCTCCAGCCAGCAGCTCATGTTGAGAGGAGGATTTACCAACATTTTCTTTGTCATTAAGTACATTTTTCCATCTGTATTAATCATAGAGCAAAAGGGGGGGAAAAGTATGAAAAAAGCCAACTTTCTGCAAGGTTAAAGGGGGATGAGTTGATGTCACCAATTGATCATGTGTATGTGATAAGCTTGTGATAAGTTATGACAAAGAAAGTTTAATTCAGATGGGAGCTACCTTTTCAATGCTTCCATCATAAATAAGGAAGCATTGAAAATAATTGTAGAACCTGACCTTTTAGACTGTATTCATCTAGTTTAACTTCCTAAGTTATCCTTTCCTTTACATATTTAAAAGTAATTAGATTTTGTCCAAACAAAATTATTTAAGAAATTCCCTCTGGTTACCTGAGCTATTTTAGTAAACAAACTCTTCCACATCGTACGGGATTTGAAGTTCTTGTAATTAAACTTTATCCACAAGTGTAAAACTGTACTACTCCATGACAACAGTTGTCAAAGGTCTCTAAAACCACAGAGTTGAACTCCCTCCTGGCAGTAAAGCTCCAGGACAGATGGGCTTCTGAGCATACTGAGCTCATGTTCTCTTTCAGCAGACTGGGAGAAGTCATCTGGGCCCTCCCCACAGCCACCTTCATCAGGATGACTTGGGTAACCTGGATGAACCATGAGCTCTGCTGTGATGACTGGTTGATGAAGGCCAGGTGCTCTTCTGGAGATGGTGTTAAAAGTTCTAGTTCCCAAAGCTTGCTTGAGAGCCCTCTGCAGGCTTGAAACTGACATGTTCTGACCCATGGTGGAGAGTCCCAAGTACACGTCTGGCCACCTGCAAACATTATAAAGTATCACAATATTATAACAAAAGGAGGACTAAGCTCTAGAAGCAGTCAAATGAAATCAATGCACAGCATTCAACATTATACAATGCACATTATACAGTGTACCCAGAAAGTATTCCCATAACTATATACACACACACACATACAGGGCCTGTGCATGGCTTGGATTGATTACAAGAAAGCCTATGACTCAATGCCGCATACTTGGATCATTGAATGCTTAGAGATGTATAACATCAACAGGATTCTGAGAGCCTTCATTGCAAACTTGATGAGGCTGTGGAAAACCACCCTTGAAGCCAACTGCAAACCACTTGCACAAGTGTCCATCAAATGTGGCATATACCAAGGAGATGCTCTGTCCCCGCTACTGTTCTGCATAGGCCTGAACCCCCTCAGCCAAATTATCAACAAGACCGGCTACGGATACCGACTGAAAAATGAGGCCAACATCAGTCACCTCCTCTACATGGATGACATCAAGCTGTATCCCAAGAGTGAGCGAGACATAGACTCACTGATCCACACCACCAGGATCTACAGCACGGACACTGGGATGTCATTCGGACTAGAGAAGTGTGGTCGGCTGATCACAAAGAGCGGGAAGGTCATCCACACAGAAGGGGTCTCACTCCCAGAAGGAACAATAGCAGACATAGAGGACAGTTACAAGTACCTAGGTATACCACAAGCAAATGGCAACCTCGATGAGGCCACAAGGAAAGGAGCCACAGCTAAATACCTCCAAAAATTTACCTCAATCAAAGAGTAAAAGTAAGACACCCGGCAGCAAAACAGGTGGCATCCATTTCAAAGACAGTGTGGCTAAGGTGGTGTCACAGGTTGACTAGTGCTGATCTGTTGTCACACAGAAAGTGTGATGCAGCTGGGAGATTGTCTGAGGACGTTATTCCACCTCGATGTTTTATGGCAAATGGTCAGATCTTGATGCTTGACTAGATGCTTTGATGCAGCCAAAAGCTTTTCATAACTTTTCCTCTTCAATGCCTCAAAAATGTGATGACTGATTCTGAAGTCTGCATGTCAAAAGATTTGGAATGAGTTCGCTCAGATACATATGTAAAAGAGACAAAATTATGTCTTTGATCCAAAATGGCCAACCACTTGTTAGAGACTTTTTTATGGATTCTGACATGTTACACATATTTTATATGTTTGTGTCGTGTGGTAACTCTCAGCCACCTGGTAAGAGAAAAAGTAGCCCTTGGTCTCAAAAATGTTGGACACCTCTGATCTAATGTGTGTACTTGGCATCTTCTTTCTGATTAAATTTACTGTTTTATTCATGTCTGAGTTTTTGATTTCCAGATTCTATTGATCAGTGGTCTCCATTTGTACCAGTCAAGTTCTACTGTGTGCTCAACTCTGCATGAAATAGTTTTATAGGTGTATATGAAAGGCAAAAAAATACTGACAATATTGTTTTCATGTCATATATTACTTGTTTATTAAATCAATGTTAGAGTGAATTAAATATCTTACTCCTTTTCACTTCTTTAAAACCCCTTGATCCTTGCCTCCTAAATCACCTGAAACACCTGAAAAGGCATATCCAAATTAAATCAGCTGCTGATCTTGAACAATTTGGAGTACATGCAAAAGCTTGGTCTCTTTATGAAGATGACAAGTGAAATTTTCTATTTTTGCAGTCAAAAATATTTGAACTGCAAGTAGTTTGTAGCTATTATAATTTTTTGTAACACAAAATAATTTAAATTTAGCTTCACCCAGATCTTTCATTTTTATTTCTTGTAAATGCACATTGAGTGTTTAATGTATGGACTTGAAAGTACAACGAATCTGTAGAATAAAGTATTCTGCTTGTGGATTTCTAGACTGATCAAAACAGCACGAAACAGAAATGTCATTTTGGACATATTTTTGAGGATGTACAGATGTTGCCCTAGTGTGCCATTTGGAGTCTCCAAATGGAATCCCAAAATGGACAACATCACACACACTTGGACAGCATCTGATATACAAACTAGAAGTTTGTATATAACTAGAAGTTTGTATATCAGTGCTTCAACATCAATGAGGCTTTAATAAAAGATAATGACCAGAGGAGTCCTCTGTTAGACACATTACTCATAGTAATGTTGTGTCTTTGGATATATCAATCCAAAGACTTCATTTATATAATCATATAACTTATGATCATAATATCATAAATTACTCATGATTATATAAATTAAATGGCATATATGGGGGGTTTGGGGAGTGTAGTGAACAGTGAGACTTCCTCCCCTTTCTTGCAGTAAGGGAGGGAGGGAGGGAGGGACCGTCTGTCCGACCCCCCAGCACTCTAACAGGAGACCAAGACAGTACAACATACAAACATACATGCAAACAACTTGTGTGAACAGTGTCCCCACAAGCAAGGGTACACAAACCGAGTCAGGACATGGGTATTTAAAACTACACAGGTTGATAATCACTGTCAATGACCAGAACCACAGGGAGCCAACACGGCCGCCGGGCCTGGGGAGCAGGCACACACACAGCAGAGCCAGCTCATGTGCAACCCTCAGGCTTGAGGGAGGGCATCCAGTCTCTCAAAGTAAAATAAGTTTTTGATTTCCAAAAACTTATTTTTTGGAATAAAAATAAGTTTTTTTTAGTCTATTATTTTACTCTCAAAGTAAAATAATAGAGGGGTCCAAATTTTACAAAATTTTTAGATCGAACCTCTAACTCAAAATTTTATCTTCTTTAACTTAAGGAGCGAAAATGCCATCTATATAAAGGTCACTACTTAAGCCTGCTCTCTGCAATTGGGCAAAGACAGGATCTAATATTGTTGGCAGGAAAACATGGTTGTCACATATGGGACTGTAGATAGAGAAATTGTCATATTGAAGTGTTGTCTAAATTGAGACCATATTTGTAGGGTGGAGATTACAACTGGGCATGAAGAATGTTGCTTTGGAAAGGGGGAAGCTTTGAGGTGACTAATGCACACTGTAAAAAATATCCGTAGATTTTACAGTTAAAGAAAGTAAAAAACGAAAATTTAATACCGTAAATTGGAAATCAGTTTAATACTGTTTATTTAACAAGTAATTGCCGTAAATGAGATAATTAACAAAATATGTAAATTTTACAGTTTTTTAAAATAAATTTTACATTGCACTGCTGTAAAATAAATCTTGTAATACTTTTAACAGTAAAATTCCGTAATTTTTCTAGTAGTACATACTGTAGTTTTGCAATTTTCTTTTGTAAATGATACAGTTAGTAGCTGTTAAAAATGCATACTGTTGTGATAATTACAGAAACATACTGTAATTTTTCTAGCAATGTATACCGTAGTTTTTGCATTCAATAATGATAATTTATACAGTTAGAAACTGTTCAATATGCATACTGCTGTGGAAATTACAAAAATATACAATAATTTTTCTAGCAGTGTATATTGTAATTTTTACATTTAAGTAATCTAAAGTATACAGTTGAAAAGTGTAAATATGCATAATGTTGTGGAAATGAAAAAAAAAATTGTAGTAGTGCTGTAATCTTGTATTTAATTCTCATGATTAATACAGTTGGTAACTGTTAAATGGGCATGCTTTTGTGGCAATTACAGAAATATGCTGCAAGGATTTGAAGAGTCAATGCTGTAATTTTGGGGTTTTATTCTTATAAATTTACATATGCTCCTGGGGATAACAGAAATATGCTGCACATTTCTTGCATACCTTCTCTTAACCTTCCTCTGGTATTAGCTTTCTGTTGCCATCTGTGGTGTTAGCGGGTCATTTTGGACCCGTGTATGAAATCAGGCATAAAATACCCTAAAAACAATCTTTTATCATCCAATGTTTTTCTTAACTCTTGTTTAGCTCGTTGGGCTCCCTTATCCATAAAAAGATTGGTTTTAATATTTTTTTGTGACCCCCTGGGCCTTTGTTTCAACAGCATACCCCTCGTTTTCAATGTGAAATGAACCTTAAGAGAAGAAGGCAACAAAATAATCAGTTGTTCTGTTACCTGAGTGTAACTGAGAGATATTAAAACATATTTCTTAAATGTTCAACAAAAAAAAAGATTTTAATTTTAATATTATCAAATATAGTAACATCTTAGGTGTTTCGGGTCATTTTGGACACGTATATATTTACTTCAAGAACCGGGCAAAAACAAGTCTTTATTTTCCACACAATAGTACTTTGGGTTGAACATCAGTGGAAGGAGTTGCACCCATCTCTCCTAATCATCACTGATGGGAGCAAGTTTGTCATATTTTGCTCGATTGTCAAATCTGAGGACTCTTGAGATTATCTGAAAGGTCCAAAGAGACATTGTTGCCCGGAAAATATTTCTGCCCATTGATGCATCCCAGAGACTCTCAGTTGCCTCATTGCTGGATCTGTAAAGCCCAGCAAGGAGGAGAACAGCAATGTAGGCATCCAGGTATGTCTCCTCAATGTCTTTCCAAGTGTTGCAGGAGCAGCTTCAGCACCAGTGACCTCCTCTTCAGACTTATCAGTTGTGTCTGTTTCTTCCAATTGGTACTCCACATCATCTTCGTTCTCAGAGGCCTGCTCATCTCCATCGCTCAAATCCTGTGTCCTCTGCCTCATTTGCAGCAAAGATGTGATCCAAAGCTTCATTTACAGTGAATTTTCTCCTCATTGTTGCATCCTATGAATTGGAGATGTGTACACTGCAAGTCACCACCTCAACACTCAAATGGCTTGACATGCCTGGATATGTCTCCCTTTGTTTGTTCTCACAAAAAGGCAAAGAGAAAAGCCCCTAAATGAAGCTCAAGTGGTTGGAGCAAGAGTCTGTTTGTTGATTGTGTGTTTATGATTTAATTTTTGGTAATTTTTTTGTTTATAATCAAAAATTTTAACCGGGTCAAAAATGACACGTACACCACAAAAGTAATTTTTTTCACCAGAGCACTTTATAATTTAGTAAAAAAAAAAATTTTTTTATTTTGTTTCAACGCAAAAAACAA